ACACTGCTCTGGGCACGTGCTTGCCAGCCCCAGTCTCACTGAAGAGCGTGTTGAAGGAGTCGTCCCCGCCACCAATGGTTTTGTCGCTAGGCATCTGACCATCAGGCTGGATTCCATGTTCAAGGCAGTACAATTCCCAGCAGGCATTGCCGATCTGGACACCTGCCTGCCCCACGTGGATAGAGATACACTCCCTCATGATGAGTCCTGCCGGGTAGACACTGCTCGGGTAGACACCGCTCTCGCTTCTCGTGCTTCTCGCTTCTCCAACACTGTCTTTCTTTGGCCTCGGGGCCCCAGGTATAGTCAGGTAGGATAACTGTGTAAATGATCTCCCTCGTATGGTACAGTGCACAGCCTGGACAACTGTATGTGGCAGCCCTATATGGTCACCACCTTCACACATTCTGCATATGTGTCACCTGTAACTGCATGTGGACTATAAGGTCCCTGAGGGCAGGAACACAGACTGCAGTCTTTTTTTAATTTTTTAGCAGTGACAAAGTTTATTTGAAAAAGTAAGAGTGAAGAGTGAGGGAGAAACTGTTTCAGTACAGTGAGCTTGGGCCAAGTAAGAGGAAAAGGCGGGATAAAAGTCTGCCCTGGAGGACGTAGCACTGGTTAGCTGGAGTAAAGCTGCCATAGTGAGCTCCTCATGGCATCGATGTGTCCTCATCGTGGTGACCCAAGCCCCAAGGAAACTCGAGAGAACTACATTCGGGTCCTGAGAGGCAGTGCTGGCTTCCCACTCCACACGCCAGGTCGGGTCCAGAACAGTCTGTTGAAGACCTTGAAAACCTGCTCAAGTTCTCAGGCGGAGTTCATGTGCAGGGCTTTGGGAACCACTCTGCCCCTGTGCTTTGTGATCTTGTAGCCAACAGGTCAGGCCACTGCCCCATCCAGCCTTGCCACACCCTAACCTCCTGCCTCATTTCCCTCCTACCCAGAAATCCCCATAATGCTTTACGAGGTGCTGAGGAGGGGCCTGTAGGCCCTGATTACTGAGGGCTATGTGCTCTCCAGCTATCTTGGGGTACTGTGCCTCACTGGCTGGGTTGAAAAAAAAAAAAAACTTACTAGAAAATGAGATATAGACTACTAGAGAGTTTGATTGTTTAGCTGAATTCAAACACCTATAGTATTTAGATGCCAATAGAATATTCACCTCTGACAGGACTAAACAAAAAAAAGGGGGATACAAAGGAAAGATCATTTGGCATTTATATATACAAAATGGTTAGGATAGATATACAGCTACTTTCACTTAATTCAATAAGAAGAAAGAGGTGTATTAACAGTGTTTGGACAGGATATCCTGTCTGCTTCTTTTACTATGGATAACCACTAAGAAGATAACGATATTCAATGTATTATCAAAACTGTCCTATTAATCAGCTTTGAAACTGTCTCATTCATATTTATTTCTCAATAAAATTTAAAAAAAAAAAAAAAGAAAATGAGAAAAAAGTGAGTGACCACTGAGTTGCTCATTTGACAGGTGACAGAAACTTCACTACTGACCCAAATTTGAGAGGCAGGTCAGATTTGCACTTCTTGTAGCTTCACTGTAGTGTTGCTTTTTACCTTAGTCCCTGAGAAGGGGCCCTTCTATTTTGGCTTTAATCAGTCAGGGGGCTTCCCCTTTCTCCAAATTTTTAGGGGCACCCAGTCTCCAGGATGGACAGGAGGTGGCCCCCGGCCAGGAGCTGCCAGGACTCTAGTTTTTATCCTTCCACAGTGCCTGCACCTCAGCTGGTGATCAGTAATTGTCCCCTGGCCATGCAGTAGGCTGTGGTTCCGGCTATCTCCAGAACAAAGGAGCCTCCTTGGGCCTCCCGGGCCTGCAGAGCCCAGATCAGGCACCTCCATCCTCCCCAGCATCTGATGCCCAGTGTTCAGGCTGCCCTTCCCTTGAGACCTTCCCAACAATAAGAGGTCATTGGTGGCAAGGATTCTCAGGAGCAAAGGCCTTCATGTTCACCCAGGCTACAGTGCACATACTGCACACTGCACGACCCAGGGGAATGGCTTTCTCATAGATCCGATGCTGTAGGTGCGGATCCTGGTATCCAAGCCCCAGCTGTGCTCTGGCCACTTCTCTGGCCATCGATGGAAAACCATCTCAAGTGATTTCTCCCGCTAGCCAGAATGTTACCACCCCCACCGCCAGGTGCACAGGATTGGCCCCTGTGCTGTCTGCTGCCCCACAGCCCTACACCCAAGTCTAAATCTCTTGTTTCTTGTTTTGACAAACAGGAAACAAGGCCCCCTCCAGGTTGTGGAATGTCCTCCTGCAGCAAGGACAGGAGGAACAGGACCAAGGACCACCATGACACCTCTGCTGCTACATACCCATGGCCCAGCCCACAGCCCAAGACACCGGCCTGGTGCACAAGCAGAGGCACCAGGAAGTTAGGAAGAAATTCCTGCATCCTTCTCTTCTCGGCCAGTTTCCCAAGGAACAGGCCTCTTATGTGCTAATAGTTCCAGGGCCTGTTGCCCTTTGGGGAAAAGAGCCTCTAAGCTTCTGAGAGCCCATCTGCCATCCCCACAGGCTCGTCCTCATGGAGCCAAGCACATTTTCCCTCAACCCCTTCTAGCTGAAGGATAGGACCAGGGTCTCCCGGCACAGGCAAGAAGGATGCAGTATCCTTGTCTCCCAGGAAAACCATGGACGCATCTTTTCGTGGAGACAGTACTCCTCCTCCCTTGTCCCACAACCCCTTGGGCTATGCTACTTGCCTCTGGAAACCAAAGGAAGTAACACCCAGCTCCTTTCCCTCCTATGGGGTCTACTAGGGGTGACATAACCTGCCTGCCATGGGGCAGGTAACTCCCCTGAAGTATCAGGGCTAAGCTGACAGCAGGAGCTGCAGGAAAAGGGGCAGGCCAGTGTGGTCAGCGCAGCCTGGGACTGGCCCTAGGGCAGAGTTGGGGAGGTATATGGCTGGGGGCAAAGGACAACAATAAGCTCTGGCTCCCAGAAGCAGCTAAGAGACAGGGGAGGCGTATGAGTGGCACCCCAGGGGCCACAGAGGTCAGGGTATTGGGGAGAGGTAGAGAAAACCACGCAGATAAGGCCTGGGCTCTCTTCTCTTGGGAGCCGCAACCAAAGAAACAGCTTACTCATTGCATAATCCTTCTATTTGCCCAGAGCTGCATTTAGCCCAGATACCTTTCCTGTGAGGGGAGTAGCAAAGGCATCCAGAAACAATCCAGAAGGGACGGCAGCTGCAGGAGGGCAAGCATGGTCCTTACCACCTCAGGGATGGAGGTCCACAACGCGTCTGCCCCCTTCAACTTCTCCCTACCGCCGGGCTTCGGCACGCGCCCCACAGACAAGGCACTGAGCGTCATTCTGGTGTTCATGCTGCTCCTTGTCATGCTCACTCTGGGTTGCACCATGGAGTTCAGCAAGATCAAGGCTCACCTCTGGAGGCCCAAGGGACTCACCATCGCTATGGTAGCCCAGTATGGCATCATGCCCCTCGCCGCCTTCCTGCTGGGCAAGGCCTTCCGGCTGAGTAACATTGAGGCACTGACCCTCCTCATCTGTGGCTGCTCACCTGGGGGGAACCTATCCAACCTCTTCAGTCTGGCCATGAAGGGGGACATGAACCTCAGGTAGGATGCGGGGTGAGAAGGGAGCAGGCTGGGCCGGGGCCACTGTAAAGATATTGACTGAGGCGATGAGCTGGGCTAAAGCCAGGAGGGGGTGGGAGCTGGGTGGATGGATACCAGCCCGGGGGGCTGCTGCACTTATGACAAGAGCTTATGCTGGGCAGGGGGTGGGGGTCAGGGTCCATCGTGGTTTAAGCTCTAAGCCAAAGCTGGTCCAGGGGCCTCCTGAGATGACCCCCCCCACACACACACACACACATCAAGGGGAGGGACAAAGCATTACCTTCAAGGAACACCGATTTCAACCAAAGAGCCCCAAAAAAAGCACAGTGCTAGGGAGAGGAGAGTCAGCTCTGTGCTTGCAGATGGAAGAGGGGGTACAGTGGGTTCCAAACACCATCAGGTGGACCAAGGTGACTCAGAACTGCACAAGCTCCTCCAATTCCTGCAGGATGCATGAGCTCCAAAAGCTCCTCCAACTGCCTGGGCCCTCAGGTATCTTCCTTTAAGCTCCTCCAAATCCAGGGTGCTTCTCAACTAAGGACTCACCTCAGCCTAGCAGTAGGAAGACAATGGCTATCCACAGCAGCCAGCGCAGACTCAGCAGGGCTCTCTTTACAGCCCGACAGGGGGCTGGCAGAGCCATTCCCTCCCAACAGGTGGGCACAGCGTTGAGCTCCTGCTGGGGGCTCACACCTGCAGCAGCCACCTGTGCTGAGCCTGAAGAAAACTCACTCAGAGCCCTTGCTTTTGTTTCCTTGGTGTGGCCACCCCATCTGGGTCAGCCCTCAGTGGAGACAAAGCAGGGACTCCAGAGTGCATGTGCTTGTGTCTGGGAAGACCTGGCCATGGCTGAAGTTTACTGAGAAAACTGAGTGAAGGGCCTCTGGATGATATAAATTGACACTGGGACAGTCGTTCTTTCTCAACACTGGAGATAGAACTCAGAACCTTCAGGCCTTGGACAGATTTTTAAATACTGGGAATGAGCACTGGGGGCCAGGACCTCCCTCTAAGATGCGCTGGGCTTTGAGTGAACTCAGCCTGCCTCCAGGGTGGGGGGTCGAGACAGAGACCAAGGAGTTGTCGATGTTAAGCCCCTCACTGAGAGCAAAAGTTCTTTCCTCCAAGGAAGCTGAACACTTCCTGCTGCAGAGCAGCCAGGGGCTGTGGAACAGGCTCGCAGCCTCTGTACCCCAGGGAATGCAGCGTGCACCTAGTTCTGGAGAAGCAGGGAAGCTGGAAATGGGGCACAAAGAGGCTCACAGGAGCTGTGCATCTGTGGAAGCAGCAGAGCAGGGAGTTGGCGTGGGGGAGAACAGGCACATTTTCAACTTCAACCAGGTGTGCCCACAGTGCCAGTAGCGTGCCACCCCTGTGGTTGGAAGTCCCTGATGGGTCGGTCAGCCCTCTGCGATTCAAGGACATGCTCAGCCTCCTCTCCAGTCACCCGGGGACTGTCGCCTCTTCCTAGACCCCACAGAAGGTAATACTACTACTGGGATGGCTACCAAAACCCTTCTGCACAAACCACATCTCATTCACCACAGGAGTAAGAACTGTCATTAGGTTGTGTGCCATGACTTCAAATTCCAATCTGAGTTTGTCTGGGACAACAGGGATTCCAAGAACTTGTGCTAACCACTTTACCTGAGTAGCTCCAGGTGTCTCTAGCACCCTGGACTGAGTTTTGGAGTCCAGTACCTTTGTTCAGGTCTGGACAGCTCCACAACCTGTGCTTTGACTGAAATATCCCTTGGGCCAGCGTAAACAAGGTGGCCGAAGGCTCTCTGCCATCCTCGAAACCACAAGCCCTCCTGAGGCAGATGTGGCTATGCCACAGGAGCAGCCCTCTGCTGTCACCGCTGCTTTTCTCCGCTCTTGCATGCCATCTCTAAATCTTTAAGCACTAGCAACTCACTCAAGTTTGTCTGAAGAACTGTGCAAATCAAACAATTGAGCCAGGTGTCACTCCAAAGTGAGAGTGAGACATCTCTTCCTGTCTCGGGGTTGGGAGGCATCAGTCAGATCTTGGTTCCTTTTCACGTATCAGGAAACTAGAAGTCCAGAACTGCAAAGTGTTTCTCAAGATTTGTAATAAAGCGGAGTCTAGAGCCAGCCCACAGCCGCCCCCCTTGGTCATTCTGCCCCCTGCTGGAGGGAGTCAAGCAGCCAGCCACATCAGAGGTCCACAAGCAGGTACCCAGAGGGCTCTGGGAGGGTAGTACTAAGCACCCCCCCCCCCCAAGGCTGAGGTAGACTTGGCAGACTGGGGACAGAGAATGTGCCAGTGGGAACTGACGACCACAATCATTGGCTCCCAACCCCATGGGCCCACAGCAGCTGTGGACAACAGGTGTGAGCACAACTCAAAGGTTCCCATAGGTCTCCTCACCATGATGTAGGCAGACTAAAGCCAAGATAGGAAGGATGCCATTATGGTGCCCAGATATTCCATTTCACCAAGACTGGTGGCTCCCTCCCAGGGGCCTCAGCTTCAGCCTCCAACCTCTCCACTGATACAAGCTCAAAACCGATCCTTCAAATGGGGTATACAAGCAGCATCTACACAGTAATCTTAGAAACTTCAGCAAGGCGGCAAAATAAACTGAATGTGCCCTTTTCCCCAGGAGGCAGTCATGCCCAGTGTCACCATGATCCCAATCTTGGGAGTTAGCGTCTAAAGTGCAAGTCATGTCCCCTTACTTCTCATAGTAAACTGAGGATCACGACAGGGGCAGCACATGTTTAGGGGAATGAACATCCCTGACCAACCCGCAGAACCTATTTGTGAAAGGAACACAGCTCCCATAAACCCAAGAGGGGAGGGCACAAGTCCCAGAGCTCCTGACACCCAAGCCAAAGCAAGCATGGTTATAGAACTGTGGAACAAAACAAAACAAGCTGCAAACTGTTTTCCTATGGATATCAATAGCTGTCACTGAAATCTGATCCTGCCCAAGCTCAATCCCCACCACCCCAAAGGGAGCACCTCCCAGGATTTGGAGCTCAGCATTTCTAGGGACCTTCTTAAAACTACTGGCACGTGTTTATCTCAGTTTTTAAAAAGCTGCACTTGCATGTTTTGAAATTTTGTATTAATAATTCGTACCATTTGACAACCGATAGGCATGTGATATCTGAACTGCGGTTCAGTTTGCTTGTGTTCATCTGCTGTGGGGCCAGTCAGTGCTGTGTTTTCATGCCCACTTTATAGACAGTTTTGTGGAAGGTCCCCCTTGCTTCCTGGTAAGAGCTGACTTGTAAAAGCAGAACTCCTGGGTGGCTGGACTCACACATTCAGCAAACCATCTTCAAAGCAGTTGCTCCGCCTCCTGCTCCTGACACAAGTATGTGAAGACACCCGTTCTGTCTTTGGAATTGTCAGGCTTTTCAGTATGTGCCAACTGAGGAGTTTGCAATAAATCACAACGGTTTTAAATTTTATTCCATGGGAGGCCCATGTCTTTTCAGTTTATTGGCTGTTTAAGAATCCTCTTGAAAATGTTACTGGTTTTACCTGTTTTTTCATGGGTTCCATAATAATTTCTTGTTCGTTTATTAGGTGGCTACTTAACAAATGTTACCACGATCTTAGAGGCCATCTTTGCTCCTTGATAGTGGAAATGTAATGTTTAACGTAATCAAAATTTACCAATATTTTTCCTCTAACATTTATGGCTTAAGGTTTTAAGAAATCTCCATCTGCAACGTTACAAAGATACTATTTTCTTTGAAAAGTTTTAAGTGTTTTTCTCCTAGAAATTTTCCATCAATGTGTAACTTAAAAAAGTTAAGTTTCCAGCACTACTTTGAATTTTCCTTCAGGGCCTTGTAGCCCCGTCACTCAAGCCAAGCATGGGCGAGCCCGTGGCTGGACCTGACTTCTCAATGGTCTATGTGGGCTCCTCTGGCAGCAGGCCATTTTCTTACAATGACTGAAGTCTGCAGGGGAAGCACTCCATCTTCCTGAAAACTACATGAACTATTCTTGGCTTCTACTCTTTCACTTAAATTTTAGGATCAGTTTTCAAGTCTACAGAAAAAATCTGAGCCAGGATTGTTGGAGTATGCCTGTAAACCCAGCACTCAGGAGACCAAAGCAGGAGGACCACTGTTAAGGTCAGCCTGGGCTATAGTAAGTCCAAGGCCAGCCCAAACTATATAGTGAAACTACAACTACAGGATCTCTAAATTATTTTAAGGATCTGAAATTTTAAGTGTAACTGCTTTACACTGTCAAAATGTAAAGATCTTTAGAATTTCAGGTCTAGCCCTTTATACCAACCTATGTTAGTTTCTTCATCTTGTATCTTAGGCAGGCAGTGACACAGGCCTGTCACCATCCAGTTACCAGGGAGATAGAGGAAGAATCATGGACCACAAGCTCAAGACTCACCTGATCAACAAGTTAAGGTCTCAGAAGATAAAATAAAAAATAACCGCATTTGGATGTACAAGTATTTCATATTTTTGTATTTTAAGTGGTTTTTAAAAAAAGAATCATTTGCTATTTGTTCCTAGCCTGATTTGCAATTTTTTAACAATATATCTAGTACAGGGTCTGACTACACAGATCAGACTTGCACTATCTTCCTGTTTTCAGCCTCCCAAGTGCTGGGATTACAGGCACGCACCACAAGCCCCAGGGGTGGGGCCATCATGACAAGCCAGGGATTGAACCTGGTCCCTAAATCTGCTTTAGCAGGCGCTTTAATACACTGAGCTATCTGGCCAGCCCTGCAACTGCTTTTTATTGGTAATATACTGAGAGATTTGTATATGCTATTACTTGCTAATTACAATGGTTCTCCTCTGTGGACAATCCCACCAATGGCAAAATATATGTATCTTATTTCTACACTTTGTTGACTACTGCCCCTTCCTTCTTCCCCTCCTCATCTTCTGCCTCCTGCCTCAGTTTCCCAGAGTGCTAGGACTTATACTTTTGTATTAATTTTATTGAGAACCAAATAGCAATGAGATAGTTGCAAAATAGCTTAGTAGGACAGTTATAATAATTAATATATTGTATATTGTTGTCTTCTACTTATTCAATTTGTTTTGCTGGGCTAGTAAGGGATTACGCATAGTACAAATGCTAGTAATAGGTACTGTTGCTTGCTTACTTTTTACAGAAAATCCTAGTTTTTCATCAGCTTAATGTTTGCTATACATTTTTTGAGATCCTCTGCAGAATTAGCAGTCCCCATGCTGTTGCTAGCATACTTAATTTTTAACATTAAATAAAACGGAATTTGGTCCGTTCTACATCTATAAAATTAAGCCATTTATTATCTGAGCAACGGCTGCCTCCTCTCCTGCCACATGATATAACTAGTCCTCCAGTTATTCTCCTCTTAAGTCAGTTTCTAACCATGGCCTGTTTACTGCTGACTCAAGGGCTAAGATTTGGCTCAGTGGTAGAATTGTCTGCCTAGCAAGCTGGAAGCCCTGGGTTCGGTCCTTGGCACCAAAAACAAAACCTCACCAAAAAGCAATTTAACTAAAAAATATAGTAATATCAAAAAAGACCAAAAATAAACAAGATGACTATTTACCACTGGCTCTTAGCTTCTGCCTGGCTGCACTGTCTTTGAATCCCAGTGACTAGTGCAGTCACTGCAAACCGCAAGCACTCCATAAGGTAACACACTTGGCACCCCACATCCTTTCCTTGGCTGGGCAAAGCTACTGCAGCCAGCTATTCCTGAGGCCCTAGACAGACATTCAGCCATTCTGGGACAGACGCAGCTCCATGACCTAAAGGGGTACAGTCTAGGATGGGACCACACAGGAAACTATTCAACATGAGCTGTGCATGTGGCAGGCAGAGGTCAGAATGGCTCCTTCCACGAAGTACACGGGGACTTGGCTACTTACTGCTTGTGGGATTTGGGTAAAGCCACAACTTTTCTAATCCTGTTTTCTTATGAACAAGAAAATGAAGCAGGGCCTGCCAGGTAGCTCAGGGGTTTAAAGCACCTGCTCAGGCAGACGCAGGGACCTAGGTTCAATTCCAGGCACCACAAGCCAAGCTGGTCCTGCCCCTGGGGCATGCTGAGGTGATTGAGATGAGACTGGGGAGTAGCACGTGTCTGTAATCCCAGTGTTTGGGAGGCCGAAAACAGGAGAATCACTGAGTCCTGATCTGTGTACTGAGACCCTGTACTAATTACAATAAAGAAAATGAAGTTGTTGGAAGCCCCAGGAAGCTAGGAAATTGATCAAATGTGCCATAGGTGGGACTGGACCTCCATCCCTAAAGCAAACAAGCTACCTCACTCCTGAGATAAACATCCTGTTTGGCTAAGGTCAGCTATTAGTCGCTAGGCAACCTTGTGTCACGCATTACTAACTGCAAAAGTATAAAGGATCATTTTGTTGTGCAGTGGAGTAAGTCTTGCCCATCAGGCAGACTAACAACCACCTAGCCCAGCTTGTCTCCTTGTCTATCTTTTCTCATTCCTGCCAGTTTCTCCCTACGTAGAACTGATCGCAGTGAGACCTAAAGATCCCCACAAAGCAGTGTTTCAAAGCACTGACCACCGGGCCTAGCACAGAGCAGGCATCTACCACATGTCTATTAATGGGCTATTTTCCCTCTTCCATGTGTCCTACCCAGCATCGTGATGACCACCTGCTCCACCTTCTGTGCCCTGGGCATGATGCCTCTGCTCCTGTACCTCTACTCCAAAGGGATATACGACGGGGACCTGAAGGACAAGGTGCCCTATGTGGGCATCATTATATCTCTGGTCATGACTCTTATTCCTTGCACCATAGGAATCTTCCTCAAGTCCAAACGGCCACAATACGTACCCTACATCAATAAGGTCAGACAATGGGGCCCCTATCTGTGAAAGCAAGATAGGCAGGGAGTAGCACCAATGCTTATGAAGGCTACTTAGTAAGTGCAGAGGGGATCACCTCAGTTGGGCCACAATGAGATGCACCATGGCTGAGGTGGTGGAGGTTCCCACGGTGGCCGTGTGAGCCCGTTCCAGATGAGGGGCCACCCCTATCCCCACAAGGCTAACAGTCCACTGGACACCCACCCAAACCATAATTTTCCAAGATGCCACCCAGGGGACCAACTCCCATGGACCTTTGCAGGACACCCACCTTTTTTATGTATATGATTATGAATTAAAAACCTACTCCTGTTATTACCTACTTCAGGAGACTGTTAAGTTTGTAAAGGTTTAGAGAAAAAAGTAAAAACACTACACACAATAAAGTTGTAGTTATACCCCTACCATGTACTAGGTATACACCTGGTAGGATTCACTGTCCTTAGCGACAGCTGCACAAAGTGAAATCACAGGAGACAGACCCAACAACAGTGTACAAACAGGTATCGCTGGAACAGGAGGAAGGTTCCCGAGGACATAAATGGCCAAGGTGACTCCTTTGAGGGGATGGGCTTGGACCAGACCATGAAGGCTAGGGTAGTCAAGTCTGAGGAAGATGCCCAAGAGTTCACAGGGCATAAGGCCAAGGAGGATGAGCCGAGGGGAGGGGAGAGGATTACACACACCCACGTTCAGGAGCAGTGCTGCTGCACCAAAGACCTAACACACACTAGACAGGCCCTGTCCCACTGGAACACATGCCCAGCCCGTTAATTAAGTTTCGACACTGTACCCCTGAATTTCTCTCCTCACAACTGGCCCATGTCACCAATAATCCGCTGTCCAGTGATGTGTCAAGGTAGCTATGTTTGGCTGAGCTTTCAGTAAAGTATTTGTCCATTCTCTGATACAAATTTTCTTAAAGAACATTTATAGTCTTTTCTACTTCATGTACCAATATTCTACTAAATGTAGTGGGGGTATAACTGCACATGTGTGAAATCTCAATACTTGGGAGAGGCCAATGTCGGGCAACCTCATTGAGCTCAGCCTTACCAAGTAAGAACACCTCAAAACAAAGAAAAGGCAGGGGAGGAGCGAGTGTAGCTCAGTATGAAGGACCCAGGTCTCCCATGTACAAAACAATGCTAAATAATTTTTCACTTTCTGGCCCACTCTGCTCCTATCACCCTAACTGCTTTTTTCTGGTCATGTCCAGGGAGGATCGATCATTATTCTCCTTCTCAGTGTGGCTGTCACAGTCCTTGCTTTCCTCAACGTGGGCAGCAGCATTGTGTTTGCCATGACACCATACCTGCTGGCCACCTCCGCCCTGATGCCCCTCATTGGCTTTGTGCTAGGCTACCTTCTCTCTGCACTCTTCTGCCTCAACCCACAGTAAGTACTATATTAGGTCCTACTTTTCGGGGCAAAGATAGGAGTCAGAAACCTGAGATCTGGGCAAAGCATTTTCCTACCAGTATGCTCAAAGGTGCCAGGTGAACAAGGAACTAATGGTTTTAAGAGTTAAAGGCATCTAATCATTCCAAACAGCAAGAGGCTGACAAAGTCCCTTCCCCATCAGAGTCTAGACTCCATCTCTTATCCAGTCCTCTCCCACTGTTCCTCTTCTGCCTAGCCTGTGGTCCTCACTAGGACATCAATGGGTAACAGCTCCAAATGGCTCTGCAGCATAAAACACACAGCTATAGTCCAACTTAACTGTTACACTACACAGAAACAATCTGAGGGCACGGCACAGGAACTCAAGTACCTAATCTTCACTGTTTAGAAAGGAACTTTTCTAGTTTTCAGCTTAAATTTAGACTTCTTCCTCCAAATGTCAGTTATGCCTACACCAGCAACTTGGGAATACAGTGTCCTGGGCACTTTCACTGTCTTCTACTATCAACTGAAAATCATTTGTTCTGTGGGCCCAACCAAACAAGCCAATAAATAATACTGGCTTACATCTTCCTTTCAGCCCTTACTAGCCAGACATTATCTCCAAATTTCAACCTGGCAATTCTGTGAAAACAAACTATTCAAAACTCATATGAGGGACTGGTGACAGAGGCCAGCAGACTAAGCTCCTGCTTAGGTAACTGGGTTGTCTCTGCCCCTGGGTGCGCTGAGCGGGCCACCTTTGAGACCGGGTATGGTGGCACAACCCTGTAATCCTAGTGCTGAGTGGCTGAAAACAGGAGGATGACTGAGTCCAAGCTGCATAGTACCAAATATATTGAAACTCATACGAATGTTCTGAAAATTCTAGTCGCCATCCTCCACAGGGCAGGATTACTATAAAGTCATGGGTTAACCAATATTGCCTCTTAAATCCATGCGCCTTCTAGTCTGCTCCCTTCCACTTTCACATGCTGGGTTTCTATGGGAAGGGGAAAAGTATATAGTCACTTTCTCAGGTCCCTTCTGTGAGTAGTGTTCATTTAAACCTACACAGGTGCAGACGCACTGTCAGCATGGAGACAGGATTTCAAAATCTTCAACTCTGTTCTACCATCCTCAATGTGACCTTCAAGCCTGAAGTCATTGGGCCACTTTTTTTTTTCCCTCTCTTCTACATGATTTTCCAACTTGGAGAAGGACTGCTCTTCATCATTATCTTTCGATGCTATAACAAAATCAAGCCTGCCAAAGGTACAGTACTGCATCGCCTCCCTTCCAATTCTGCCCCCTCTGGACCAGAGCTTGCCAACAAGCCAGTTACTAGCCAGAAACAAGGGGGCTTTAATTCTCATCAGGTCATTAAGGTAGTACAAAAGAAACAAAGAGTCAAGGCTACTTCCACTTCTGACTTCTAGCAGAGGGAGGGGGAGAATCAAACCACGGTGAGTTTGTCTCAGCAGACTGAGGTGATATTGAGCTGGTGGGCAGAGTTTCATTATACAGACACAGGGCAGAACTGTTCAGGCACAAGACAATTCTTAACTATTACTCGTGTGAAAGGCCTCTCTACTCCAAAGATCAGGAAGTGTCTTTCTTTACAGAACCAGGTCTAAGGTCTAAATTCTGACACCACTAACATCCGTGGGAAAATTTATGAAAGCAATGAAGTCCCATATATAATCTAGAAAGAAAAAGGATTTAACTCATCACACAATAATTTAAGTGCATGCATTTTAACAGTAACTATAAGCTTGATTTATAATTTATTACTTAACATAGCATCACTTTCTTAAAAATGTAATTTTCCTCCAATATAATCAGACCTCAAGAAAATCCACAATATTCATCCTTCAAAGTGCACTGCAATCCTAAGTCTAGGTTTTCTGTAGTAGAAACTAAACCCAGGAAGCACTATACTATATTTCTAGGGTTTTTTTTGGGGGGAGATGGTCTCACTAAGTTGCCCAGGCTGGGCTTGAACTTAGGATCTGTATGACTCAGCCTCCCACGAAGCTGAGGTTTTAAGTACGTGCCACTGACCAGCACAATGTCCTAATAAGCAAGAAACTCAACCTTGTTTTTTAACATTTATAAGTTTATAAGTAACCTCATCATTACAGTATTTTTCGTAATCATTTACACAATTCCTTCTACAATTTCCCATGATTTTTCACCTCTTTTAAGCTCTCTTAACCGTGTAATTATGACTTATACCCCGGAGAAATACACAACTTTCCCTGGTGAAAGTCATTACCATGCAAAGCAAATGCAGATTTTTCTCCCCCTTTGTAATTAAGCTGTATTCTTGTATAATCAAATAGCCAAAAAGAAACCAATAAAAGGCTAACTGTACTCTAGAACAGTTTGTAAGTTCAGAACCTACAGTATAGTTTATGAAAAAGAAGCTAAGCATAAGGTATCTCAGAATAAAACGTTTGTTACCAAACAAGATTGTCCCCCAGTTTAAAACAAACACATGGCTGGGTAGATAGCTCAGTGGCGTAAAGTGCCTGCCTGCTAAGTGAAGATCTTGAGTTTTGATCCCTGGTACCACATGCCGCACCAGCCCCAGAACCAGGTATGGTTGTGCACACCTGTAATCCCAGTGCTGGGGAGGCTGAGACAGGAGGATCACTATGAGTCTCAGCTGCATAGCAAGACCTTCTATGAAATAATAAAACTAATTATTACACACCCACACACAAAAATGGTAAGTTAGTTCCAGGTTTAAAGTTTTAGTCCCACAACAGTCTAAAATGTCCTTCAAGGGACAATATAGACCTTTAACTCTAAGACCTAAAAAGAAATTTAGTAACAGTTTGCTCAGTAAGACCTCAGTGGCAAAACTCTTGTTATCTCTTTGGAGCTAAGAGCCCCAATGACCATCAGAAAAAGCAGGCTGTCAACTAGGTTTTCTTGTTCATCTTATCTCCTGCACCCTCTTATGGATGGGAAAACAGCAACAGTGACTCCTTCGTTCAAAAGTTCACCTCCTCCACTGAGGCAGAATGAATAGTCACCAGTGTGCCAGCAGCTTGGAAATTCTCCTGGTCACATTTCCCTACAGATTGTTCCTCCCTGCCCAGTCCCTATTTACAGAATGGTAGTCATCCTCACCTACATAAACATACCTACTCTACCACTTTATTGCTATAGTACACAGAAGTCCTGGTGGAGCAATGGAAACAGTATTCCCATTAGCTAAGTGTTCTACTATTAGTGCTACTACTAGAGAAACTGAAGGGAAACCATTACAAGAGGAATGAAAGAGATGGAAAATACAAAGCACACCCTATGAATAGTTGTTTTCCAGATAAATTCTGTATTGCGCTTTTCTTTCCAAACCATTAACCTTTTTCCATTTACAGACGAAACAAAAATGATTTATAAAGTTGCCCCAACTGAAGAAGCAACCCTAAAAGCTCTGGAAAATGGCATCCACAAGGAGGATCAAGCACTTACAGACAAAACAAAAATGACCTGTAATACTGCCCCAGCTGAAGAAACAATTCCAATAGCTCCAGAAAACAGCATCCACAAAGAGGAGCACACTCAAGCCTAGCACTTCCTCAGTGGCCTGGATTCCAGCCAAGTGGCAGGTCAATACACCCAAAAAGAAGGAACAGCAGGCTTCTGAGTCTTTCCCTGGTACTTCCAGAAAACCTTACGTTCAGCAAACAAGTCAGCACAATCAAGTTTTGGTCTAAAGACAGACAGGAGTATCTATACGCAAGGAGCCTCACTGATCTCCAGTTCAGGATGGAGTATTTGTTTGAAAAATAAGAGACTTGTTCAATGACTAATATACTCTTAAGGAGAAAAAAAAAAAAAAAAAGAAACTGCCTTTTGCCCCTAGATCCCTAGAAAACTGCCTTGTAAATGTTATGTCACTCAACTTCTGAACTAATTAATGGGTGTTCCATCCACTAATCAAGTATCTAAATGCCATTTCCAAGTTTGTAATCTGAAAGAAAAATTAACGGACCACAGATGTAATCTAAAATAGCCCAGATCCTATTCTATTTCCAGTGACATCATTTCAAGTTCCTCAAAATAAGTCAAATGACACCAAATGCAAAAGTAGACACAAATGCAAAGGCAACTAATGAACAAGACTCAAAACAACTCTCATCTCTGAGATTTGAATATCAGAAGCAGACAAAAACAAAGCCAAGAAAACTTAATTTCATTAATCATATCATCATGAATCAGTGGCATCATATACGCAAAACTAAGGGAAGCACTACAAATAAAGAGTAGTTCCACAATTCAAACAGAATTTTCAAATTTGAAGCTTCTTGTTGAACATTTTACACATCATTCATGGATAGGCATTAAAACAATAATATTGAGTTCGGAATGGTGGTGCATACCTATAATCCCAGCACTTGGGAGGCTGAGGCAGGTCGTTGGGGGGCCAGGGTATGTCTCAGTAGAATTAGCGCTTGCCTGGCAAGCACAAGGGCCTGAGTTCAATCCCCAGTTCTGCCAAAAACAAAAACAAACTAGCGTGCCCTACAACAGAAGCTCAGGGCCAGCCTGAACTGCATGAGACCTTGTCTCAAAAAGAGAAAAAAAAAAAAGAAAAACCTAATAAAAATTGTGTTTATTTATTTTTTGCAGAACCGGGGACTGAACTCGGGCCCTTGCACTTGCCAGGGAAGCACTTATTCCACTGAGCTATCTCCCCGGCCCCTAATAAAAATCTTAAAGAATTAAGATTAAACATTTGTATCATGCCTAAATACTTGTGAATTTCCTATTATCAGGTACAAATGAAACCACAAATTGATTTCATTAGGGCACCTATTGTACTCAGGGTTTTCAAGGGCAACACAATACACAACACATAATTTGTAAGGTTACACTAGCGGGATGAAGGATCTGTGCCAGCAGCCTGGGGGATCCTGCACTGGAGCCAGGAAACAATGCTCCAAGTGAGGACCAGAGCTCTGCCAAAGTGAACCACAGCCATTCAAAGTGACAACAAGGTCCCGAGCTCCTCCCACAGGAACAGCCAAGTTCATCAAGAAAGCCAGCATAACAAGCTCCTCCAAAAGAACCAGCAGCGTCCTACAGCTTATTAACTTCTTGCTTTCCAGTTCTGCCTCCTATGCTGCCAGCCACAATCCTCAAGTGGGCTTCCCACACCCATAACCACAATGGTTTAGCGGGATGTTTCAAGTTGACCACCAGCTGTCAATCCACCACAGCTCTAGCCTGGGAAATGTACAGAAGAACAAGTACCACCAACACTATTTTAAGAATCAACAATTGAGCTGGACAGCATATACCGGTCACCCTAGCACTCAGGATGCTGAGGGAGGAAAAGATCAGGCTGAGCTACATAACGTCAAGGTCAGCCTTAACTATATAGTAAAAACATCTCCAAATACCAAAAATCTGAGGAGACAGATATGGCGGCACTTGCCTGTTAATTCCAGCACTCTGAAGGCTGAGACAAGAGGACTAACCCAAACTCAAGGCCAGTCTGAACTACACGAGAACCTGACCAAACAAAGAAAACAATCACCAGTGGGGTCACTAATATCCTCTCACCAACTTCCTAAAGGGCTACTACCTAGCATTTTTAGAGTATATTCCTATGAGAATATATAGATGTATCTATTCAAATTCTCTTCTCTAATACCCAAATTACAACTGCTAGACCTGGTTACCTACAAGATAACATAGTAACAAGTCTGTTTAGCTTCAGACAAAGGTTAAAGATGGACGTGAGACCTATCAAACTGTCCTTAACTAGATGAAAGGAATATGAACAGAAAACAATGGCTGCATCATGTCCTATACACTGATCTTAAACCTGTTTGTAACATCACATCCACACTGTTCATGACTTCTCAAGTCCTGAATCTTAAGAACTGGGCTTCTTAATGCTAACTAATCAATTTCCTCCATTTTGGAATTTTATTATTTTCTGGCTCAGGCTGCCTTAAGGGTGGGTTTGGTAAGGCATGGGGAGCTGGGGATCGAACCATGGTCCTTTGCGCCTGACTGGGTTTGCCCTAGCAGGGGCAAAACAATTGAGCACTTAAACAACTGAGCTAACTTGAAAGCCCCCTCCCCAATTTTGGAAGAGTTCTACCAGTGTTTTCAAAGAAAATTATACTCCTTCACAACCATCTACAAAACACTTTCAAACAGTAGTAAACTTCTGATCACTTAAAGGTAGAAGTACAGAAAAAATGTAATGGGCCAGGGATGTAACTTAGTGGTCTGGCAAGGTCAAAGCCTTTAGTTCACTTCCAAAAATGAACAAAAATCCCACCAAAAAAAGAATGAAAACAACTAGAAAATTTAAACTACATACTGCCCTGGCCGGTGAGACAGCTCAGCAGACTAAGCGCCTGCTTTGGCAAGCACAGGAACCAGGGTTTGATGCTAGGTCCCACCTGCTAAGCCAGCCCCACCCCCAGGGCACACTGAGCCAGTGAACAAGTAATCCTAGTGCTAGAGAGGCTGAAAACAGGAGGATCATGACTAGTCCAAGCTGTGTAGTGAGCCCTGTACCAAATACATTTTTTTAAAAAAAGAACTATATACTGCCCTGAGTACACCTAAAGAGCTTAAGGGAGGAAAACTGCCTTGATACAAACTTCAGACTAAGTTACACAACCTTCAGTGGTTACAAATGAAAACTCTAGGTTCTGCCAGATTTAATAAACCCAGTCCCCTCAATTAAATAAACCAGCACACCGCAAACTTAAGACTCAGCCTATTTAAGAGGACCCATGTTACTCCATGGTTCAAGTTCTAATCTTCTAAGGGTCTTCATTTAAGAACATTCTAGCATTTTAAATCTACTCTCCAGACAGAGATTCATACTCCTAACTCCTATACCGCTTCAGGAAAGCCAAGTTTATTTTTTCTAACCTCATCTTCCTTAAAAGCTAGAGTAAAAAATAAAAGAGAACCATACAGTTCTAGGGTGCCTAAAACTATAGACTTCTTGGACTCTAGAATACTCCACCCCTTAACAGTCCTTGTAAAGCTCCTGTATTCCCTTTGTAATATGGTAGTTAATAGTTTCAAAGATCCCAAGTAAGCACTTAAAATCACCTATTACAGTTTGATGTTAAACAGATCTTACTAAGTATTCTAGCCTCACTCCCAAAACAAAGGTCAAAGAGTGGTCTTTGTCATTCCTAAAGTTCATTTCCCACACTTACGGGGCAAGTTTGAAGACTTAAGATATAGAGCTCTAAAACCTCAATGAAGAAGTACACAGGACTGCTGCCTTCTCTAAACGCAGTGGCACATTTACGCAAAGCAGGATGGAAGTCTCTCAACCTTCTGTATTAGCTCGTCAACCTAACAAAGTCAGGCCACCTAAACTGTACTATCACCGGCAAGAAACGTACAACTTGTTTCCCAAACTGTCCTTTGGCTCTTTCAGTTTCACTAACTTGATGCCAATAAAGTCAGATGGTAAATGAAATACTAGGGAAGTACCTCTGCACGCACGCGCACACGCGTCCACACATACATGGTCACTACCAACTTTCAGTCTCTCTCTCTCTCTCTCTCTCTCTCACACACACACACACACATTTCAACAGTTCACTGACTTGTCAGCTTCTCCAAATAATCTGGAAATGTTAGTAATCATCCCGGATTACAGATATGTTGCAATTTAAACGTGAAAGGAAATGGCAGTAAGAATGTGGGACTTCCTCAAACAAAAAAAGCAATTTTGTAGTATTTTATTATCATTGACAAACAGCTGCCGTGTGTGTCTATCCTGCAACTGTTAATGGGTGAATAGGAGGACACCCTTAACCCTAACAAGAAAAACTCAAATTAAGCCTTTATATACAAGCAAATTTAGAGCTCTTTTGGTGTCCAAAGCTATTAATTAGTTTAATTGAAGCATTAAACTAATTCTTAATTAACATATTTGAATAACCAAGAACTAAAATATTCAAAACTTTTTTCTAGTACAAAAAATTAAGTTTGCTTTAGTTATAAAAGAGCTCTGTCAATATACACAAACTATATACTTCAGACATTCACAAAAATGTGAGCAGAAGGCTTATCAAAAGACATTTAATACAATTAGTTTTCAACAACCCCTTGGTGGTCCACATCTACAAAGATATCCAGCCCAACCCACCCCCTCCAAACCCTACCCCCACAGAAAAGCACATACTTACCAGAATTTTTAGCAAGTATGGTTTGGGAATTTGTTTTTTAAAAAAGGCCCCTAGGGCAAGTTATTTACAGTTTAATTGCCACTGTCAACTGATCTGGATCTGGACCTGGACCTGGACCTGGACCTGGACCTGGACCTTGACCTGGACCTCTGGCGATCTGCAGATGCTGGAGACTTAGATCTACTTGAAGAACCACGTTTCTGGCTCTTCTCGGGCACAGGAGACCTACTAACAGAACGGGACTTGCTCCGGCTCCGGCTCCTTGACCGGCTGTAAGACTTCCGACTACGGGAACGAGACCGGCTACGAGACCTAGAGGAACTCCTGGTCCGTGATCGAGACCTGCTTCTTGACCTACTACAAAAAATTTGAATAGGGGAAACAAAAACAAAACAAAATCAGCCTACATGACAGACCACACAAACACATTAAATAAAATTTCCAATTTAAAAGTATGTGACAGATACCTGTGCCTTTTGCTGCCTTCAATTAATTTGATTTTTCTCCCATTTATTTCCTTTCCAGAAAGTTTTTCAATAGCATTCTTTAAATCACCATAAGAGGCAAACTCAACCACCCTAAAATAAAAAAATTATCATTTTAAAAGTACATATATCCCAGGACCTCACAGTGTACACAGCACTATCAATTAGAAAGTAAGTACTCTGATCATTTTTGCTACTGCTACTTAGCTCCAAAATATAATGTAACACAGCAAAACTTTTTTTTTTTTTTTTGGTATAGCTAATTCACTCTACAGTGTTCAGGGTCTCACTACTAGATCAGACTTGTAGTGATCTGCCTGTTTACCCAAGAGCTAGGATTATAGGCACGCACCACCAGACCCAGTCTCAACTGCCATTTCAGCATGCCCCACAGGCGGGGCTGGCACAGCAGGACCAGGGATGGAACCCCCAGCCCCTGCATGACCGCTGGTAGGTGCTTTAATCTGCTGAGCTATTTGGCTGGCAAGATTCTGACAGATGAAATTTTAAGCCACCCATCTCCTGGTTGTGAGGGAGTTCTATGCAGCACTGTCAGATATTTATAGCCCCTACCCACTTGATGCCAGCAGTACCACAATCATTTGACAAGAAAACCAAACTCTAAACACTGTGCCAAATGCCCTCAGGGACACCAAACAGTGCTTGACAAAGAACCACTACAGGGAACAATCTGCAATGGTACGGCCTCAGAAATGCTCACAATAAAATGAACAGACTATCTCAAAAGGTTTTCAGAGCTTCCAGTATACTCACCCTTCATTTAACTTAGGTCGATGTGCATCCGCAAAGGTTACTTCCCCAGCTTGTCTCATGAAATCTTTGAGATCCTTAACACAAGACAATTGTGTCAAGCACAGAAGAGGAAGCGATGACACACAAACAATCACATGGTATAAAAACAAGACTACTGAAAGAGAAGTTGTTAGATAAAGTACAAACATGGCATATACCACACTTGTATTCTATCAGAAATCAAAATTATGTCAGGGCACGAAATAAGCAAATAGCATATTGCTTTTAAGCAAAATGCTAGAGAAAATAAGAGACTTTTAACATTAAAATAGTATTAGTCTATACTGAGCTCAGTACAAAAGAAAAAAAAGCAAACGAACAAAAAACAGAACAAAAGAAACAGTACATATTTTTAAAGGACTAAAGTAGAAGTTTTATATTTAAAAAAACAGAACATTTACAAGACACCAGTTATTTTGTGCCCCAGATGTCATTAAAAAATTTTACATTACCTTCATTAATATTTCCCTAGGCTAGTCAAGCAGCAAACCATTAATCGGTCGGAGAAACCTTCATGACAAATGCCCGACTGGCTCTTCGCCACCCACTTGATGGATACTACCCAATCGATGGAAGCCTTTAATCGCACAGCCCTCCCTATTAGCAGACTACTGGCGATGCAGACATGTTCTACTCTTGTGCAGTTACCAAGGAACACTTTACTGCGACCAGGATTCCAACGACCAACTAATTTCGTATCTTTTCAACTCTTTCGACCAGGACCTCTTATTCGGAAGCGTTACAGAAGACAGCTCTCAACTTAGGGATCAGATCACGTTATCAAGGCTCTGGGATCGCTGCAACCCGGCACTTCAAGTAAGTGCACCGATTACGTCTAGACCGGCAAACACAGATCTAGAGGTGGCCAATTGATCACTGTAGGAGCTGACTGGCAAAGTCAACCAGGCCCAACCAAGAGTGACCAAGACAACGATTAGGATAACCCACAGGCACTCCTCGTCATTAGGCCAACGACACAGATAGGCTGGCAAATAAAGGGTTTAATATTTGGTTAAAATTGATTTTAAAAAACATGAAAAATATCCTCAAAACATTTACATTTGATCACAATATTAAAAATTGAAACAATCCCCCAGTTACATTTAATTAAAGTTTAAAATTATAATTTAATTAAATCCATTAATTTAAGTATAAAATTATTTTTAATAAGATATATTAATAAAACATTAATTTCCCATTAAAAATTATAAAGCCACATTTAAATAACTCAAAACTATTTTCAACAAACCTGCCAGCTGACTCTGGAGGATAAATTCTCAACTATAAGTCGATTTTCTGTTCTTACAGGTGGAGCATTTCTGAGGAAGAAAATGAGTATTCACAATGGAAAAAAAAATGCAATGTTATGTGCAGCAACATGTGCATTTGGGTTCAACTGTGGACAAGTTCAAGTAAGCAGGGTATGTAGCCAATCAAATGACCTCCACCAACAGTTCCTGTGTTACTCTACATACAACCAGTTACTCATCAGAAACAGCACTGTATCATAAAGTAAACTTAAGTGAGTGCCAGGACCATTCACTGCAAATGATTCCTGAAACTTCAACAGTGTCCCTGCAGGAACAATTGTTCAAAGCAGCTACATACCGTCTATCATTTCGAGGTCTGCGACTACTAAAACGATCAGAGTAGCGTCCTCTACCTCTTCCTCCTCGGGACCGAGCCCTAGCATGTTCAATAGTAACCCTGTAGAAACAAAAAAATCCCCATTATGTACGTAAGCCACATACAAAGATCTGAGAGATCTACCCCAGCGGACTACTACTCCATTTTTAGAGCTAATTATAAAATTAATTGTCTCACCTTTCACTACAAAGTTCTTTTCCATCAAGTTCATACACCGCATCATCCGCATCCCTGGGATCCTCAAATTCCTAAAACAGAGCTTAAGATGCTTACTGGGCTTCAAGCATGCGTTTTCACAACACAGTAGGTACACTAAAAACCTGAGACAAGATGGGAAGAGCAGGACCTTAACATCAAGATACACATATACCTAATGTAGGGGTAATGGGGAGTGGCCTCCAGCCCTAAACTATTCTAATCTTTAAAATTCAGTCAAAACTCCATAATCTTTTCCGAAAACAAAACTTCAAAGCAGGACTCAATAATAGCAAAAATACTGCTTAGTAACACCTTTCCACACTACCTAACAGGTAATTCATCCAGTTCTAAAATACTTACCACAAAACCAAACCCTCTTTTCAGATCAATATCCCTGATCCGCCCATATCCCTTGAAGAATCTTTCGACGTCTTTCTCCCTCGCCGCTGGATTTAGTCTCCCGATGAACACTCGACAGCCACTCATGACCTCCTGCTAGTGGGCCCTGTTAGAAACACACAACAGACGGTACCAATGAATGACACATTATGCCTAGCTGCCAAATATATATATGGCACAAAAGTATTTACCCAGTACTGTAATGTTATACGTAAGACTGCAAACAATGCCTCTTAATCGTGTCAGATGCCCTGCAAACACAATTAAAACTTGGCTCCCAACACGTTACCCGCCATACACTCACTGCATCGACCGCAACGCCCACCGTCTCGGCTCCAACTGCGCAGCCGCACTCTCCCCTACTCGCGCCTCCTCCCTTCTGCCGCAGTTCCGAAAAGCCGAGAAGCGCGGGCGGAGCTGGTCCCGCCCCTCGTAACACTGACCAATAGCGGACGGCCGCGAGCGCGTCACCGCCCGCCGGGTCAGAGCGGACAAGGGATGGATCTCGCGAGGCCCCCGCCGCGCCTGCGTAGACGGCCGCAGGCGGAACCTCCCGATCCCCCCACCCCCGTCACAAGATGGCGGCCGTGGAGCCTGCGGCGGCGGAGGGGCTCGAGCCTCACTCCCCTTGCCCGGCCCCGCCCTGCCAGAGTCCCTGTGCACGCCCGCAGGGCGCCAGTACGGCAGCCCGAGCAAAGCCAGAGCGGGCCCGGCCCACTCCAGGCCGGGTCGGGTAATGACGGACGCCTGGCAAGTTGGGGCGGGCGAGCCCTCCGTAAAAACAACCGCCGTGACCGCCCTTCCACCTGTACCCCTCAAATAGTACCAATAATGAGAGGTGCCCCAGCGCCCACCTCGATCAACTGCGTTCATTAGACGCCGTCCTCCGCAAAAAGAGCAGCCCCCACCGCTCGCGAACTGAGCGGCCATGAAGAAGCCTCGATCCGAGGAGCCTTGCCCTCAAAGTGTGCCACTCACCTACCGGACAGGATCTCTGGCGGCTGAGACCCACAGAGGTTTGTAGTCTGCGACAAAGCCGTCTACCTCCCCGCAGACCAGAACACAACTCGTCTACGTCTCTCCAAAACTGACGCACTTAGCAGCTCTGGAGAGCCACAAAATGGAAGGGGCATCCCTGCGTCACTTCCGGGCCCGCCCCTGGGGCCGGGCCGGGCCTCCCCGTTGGCTCCAGGGCGGAAGCGGGACTTCCTCTCTGTGACCCGGAGAGCGAACCTGGCCGCGGTGGGCGGGGCTGTGGGCGGGGCTGCGGAGACAACGCCCTGGACGTTTTGGGTGCCTGGCTGGCGGAATCGCGTTTGTCTTCGCCTCTGGAGTACAAATATTCTGACGGGCATCCCTTTTCCTGTCCAGTTTTTCGTTAGATACCTCGAGGGTTACAAAGCCCGCGTCTCTGGCCCCTGTTGCGTGCAGTTTAAGGGTGCTCCTTGAGGCCCAAGCAAATTCAATTGCAGTTGTGTTGTACCAAGAAGTCTGAGGAGCTGTGTGTGTGTGTGTGTGTGTGTGTGTGTGTGTGTGTTTAATGGAGGGTTTGGAGGTGGTGAAATCCTAAAATTGAACCTGCAGCTAAGAAGGCCATTTTAACTTGGGGCTGAATGCAGATTTATGCCTTTTCATCACTCTGGGACTGATTTCGACTACAAGGTGTCAAGCTGGTTGTTTTGTTTTTGCTTTTTAAACTTAAATTGTTTTTCCAAGTATTTGGTTAATGCTCCCCTTTTAAATTTTTGTAGTATAACACGTGGAAGTCTATCATTCTTCAAGAGCAAAGACGGGCTTTCAAAGTGTAATGAAACACAGAGGCCCCTCCTTAGTTCCAGCATTTCGCCTGCTAAATTTGGTGGGCCTAGAAATTGAAGCGTAAGAAAGACGCTGAAAATTTTCTTTAATGCTTCTAGGTGGAACCCAAAGCATACCGTTTTTGAGATGTGCACACAATCTAGGGTTGCAAGCCTGCAACTAGAGTTACAGAGTGATAAAGTCGTTCGGGAAAGAAGAGACAACTAGGCTTCACTGTGCCCTCAGGGGCCCTTACGAATTTGGACAGTTTGTATGGGATGAGCTAGTCCATTTAGCAATGACAGGTGCAAATAAAAAGAACCCCTGTTGGGACACAGGAAAATTCTATTGAGAAGATAAGGATGGCTTTGAGGTAGTTAGAGCCCACCAAAGTGAGACAAAGGCTGAGTCCACGCAACAGACCCCTGGACACAGTAAACTATTGCCCTTTGTATGTGGCACTTCACTTCTTGAGCAGAGTGGATATGAGACTGAAGACACTAAAGCAAAATTCTTATGCAAAAATACAGGAATCGTTACCAAGAGTAAAACCTAGACAAGCCCCCTAACTTCTCTTGTTCTTTGCAGACTTAAAAATCACTAATTTTGGAGATCACACAGCTGGGCAATGCATTATTGGGTTCCTGGTAGGTTTTGCTGTAAATTAACACCCCCTGAAGTTTGGTTTAGCCATTGCCCAGGTTACTTTACGCAAGCATAAAAGATGCACTTGCTAAAAACACTGCCTCTTCAGATCTAAGCCTATAGAAAGCTGATAGATAACTAAAATGGAACAAAACATAATGCGGCATCTCTGTTGCCATACTATGTTCCCTTATTTTTTGGGTCAGATTCTGTCCAGTTGTGCATATAGACTTGTTCATTCCTTAAAGCTGTTTATTGAAGGCCATAAGAGAGGGAGGGCTAGCTTGTCTTTTTGAGCATCAGAGCGGCTGTGTGTTTTTCTTGCTCTCTCCTATCTTTCTGTCCTCACGCTCTGCTCCTCACAGCTGCAACCCTGAGCATCTGACATCTTTCAACCCTAACGTCAAAACTCAAACCAAACAACAAGGCGAAAATATTTGCACAGGATGATGGCCCCAGCTACCAGAGTAACTCAGCAATTCCTAAACCAAGTTAACTGTAACATCCAGTAGTCCAGTCTCAGGAGAAAAAAAACATTTTTTAAAACCATGCCAGTGGCTGTGGACACTTGCTGGGCTTTTCGCCCACTCCCAACAAATCATAAAAGTTTGCTTGTCTCTTTGTTATGCAAACAGTCAACCCCCCTTTCTTCACCAGTTCTGGCTCCCTTCAGCTGAAGTTCCCCCTATGGATGGATGTGCTAACAATACTTGATTTAACTGAAGATCTGATACAGTGTCGGATTTAAAATAAAGTATGTAATTTTTCACCTAGAGAGAAAACATTCTCTTAGGCTTTCACAGAGAGCAAATTGGTCAAGCAATGGCCGTGACTCATCCGCATGGCTGACACTGACAAAGGATCTACAAACTGCAGTGTGGTACAGGGTTTCAGGGTAAATCCTGAGGGGATTTGACTGACCTTGTCAGATACAAAAGTTACATTTTTTGTTATATAGGTCTTGCTTTATCTTGGTCTTAACCATCC